TTCGCAAAAATTTTGGTTCGACAAAAAAAAAAAATAAAAAAAACAAAAAATTAATAAAAAAAAATTAAAAAAAAAGTCGAACCTACCAGGTGGCACGCGCAATTGTCAAAGTTGCGCGCGCCCTCTTAGCGCAAGTTCTGAAGTTGCGCGCGGCACCTCCTCGCAACACTGTGTCTTGCGCGCGCCCACTGTTCAACGTTGACTTTGACTCGTTACGAGCAATACCATACGCAGAAAACGATATTACCGCTTCAAGGTACTAAAAATATCTCTTTGGCTAACAACGTTAAAAAATTATCGTTCTTTTAGCGTTTTCGCAAAAAAAAAAAAAAAAAAACCGCATGTGCAGATGTTACTCTTGAAGTTGCACTTTCCACCTTAGCGCAAGACGGAAAATTGCGCGCGATACTATTTTTTATTATGATGATTTGTTTACGTACTTTATAATCAGGCTAATGACATTACTTCTTATGAGGTTCGTCATTAGAAGTTCGCATCTCTTAATAGGACGTCATCAATATGTTTATTCTATTTTCGTGTTCACCATTTTTTAGTTGTAATTGGTCAACCTTGATTTAAGAGTATAATTTATTTACCTCTTATATGGTTTAAAAAGAAAATCCTGAGAACTTTTACTAGGGATGATTGCCTCACCAAAAAAAAAAAAAAAAAAAAGAGAGAGAGGGAGAGAAATAGAACGAAAAAAAAAGAAATGTCTGATCGCGGGTAAGAGTAGGTCGTTGGTCTACTAACCCTAACCAAATTAGAAATTTATAATACCTAAACTTACACTAAACTAGTTAGTGGCAAGTAAAGGGTCGAACCCAAAAGGACTAAGTGTATTAATTTGTGCCAACTAGACTACTAGAAACTAAACACGACTAAGAACAAACAACTAAAACTAGGGAAAGTGGAATTAAATCACATCAATGTATTAAAGAACATCATACAAATAGATGAAAATGACCTCGATTAGGAACATCAACACATTTAACTCACTCTCGCACAATTAAGCATGTTAATTATCCTACTAAACTAATTCTCTCTCGTGCAACTAGCCTAACAAAGGTATGGAAGAATTTAGGGCTCTCAACCAACTCACTCTCGCACAATTGATTGAAAGCACAATTAAGAGCATAGAATCGATTAGCTAGAAAGATTCTAATCCATAAAAGCATAACCCATACACAATAATCAAGAAACAATTTCATAATAATCACAATCAATCATTCAATTCATTAATATAACCTTCATCTAATTCCCTAGAACAAGACCTAAGCTAACATAATGAAGAAAGACATGGAAAATAAGGTAAAATAAGAATAAAAACAAGATTAAACAAACAAGCTAATTAATCTACTCAAATCAACAAACAAAAAGCAAAAACTAAGAATTAAGCAAAGAAATAAAGATGAGAGAAATTTAGAAAATGCTCATTGAATAGATGAGAAGAAGTTCCACAAAGTTGCTTCTTCAACCTCTCAAAAACTCCATGGAAATACAAGCTTTCTCTCTCTACAACTACTCCTAAACTAGAGAGAGAAAATCCTAATCTAACCCTAAGAGAGAAAATAAAAATGACTAAACTAATCTAATACTAGGTAAAAATAATGTTGATTAAAAGTTGTGAGAAAATAACCCCAAAGGGGTATTTATAATACAAGTTAAATAATAATAAAATAAAAGAAATTAAAAAGAAATAAAACTAAATAAAACAATTAAAATAACTAAACTAAAAACCAAAAAAACAAAACTACAATAAAATAAAATAAAAGAAAATGAAAAGGAAAAGAAACCCCAAAACCCCCTAAAACCGCCAGACCCACGAAATCCCACCACTATCTCCCTTCACTTCCTGCTTTCATTTCACCATTATCCATCAGCAAACAATCATCATAATCACCACCGTAAATCAACATCATCATCATCTAGCATCACCAGATTCTCGGCCTTTGGATTAATTGAAGAAATCGTGGCCGTCCAATTCTCATAAAAATCACGTGTGATGCTCGTGAAATGGTTCGATCAAACCTCGGGTAGGTTCGACCGAACTACGGGGTTGGTTCGGTCGAACCATGGGTGTGTTCGACCACACCTCTTTAATTTACAGAACTTTGAAAGTCTCTGACTCGTACTTCGACCGAACTCTCAACGGTTTCCTCGAACCAAATTGGAATTGCATTTTGCTCGTGCGAATTAGTGATTGGATTAATATTGCAGGTTGTTGCTGGTTGTTGACGGTGGTGCAAGGGTTGGTGTTGGTTCAGCTACGTGGCTGAAAGTGGTTGGTAATTGGGTTGGAGTTTGGTGGTTGATTGTGGGTGGTGAGAGTGGAACAGGGGAATTGCGTGGTTTAGGTGGTGGTTCGCAAGTGGTTGCGTGAGGTGGTTGGTTGATTGGTGTGGGTTTTGGTGGACGGTGGTGCAGGGGTTGTTGTGGGCGTTGTTGTGGCTGTGATAGGTGGTGAGTGGTGGTTGCTGTTTTGTGTGGTGAAGGGGGCAGTAGTGGTGGAGCTGGTGGTTGCTGTTTTGTGTGGGGAAATGGTGGAGCAGGGGAATGGTGTTGAGGGTGGCTGAAGGTGGTGTTGGTTGCGGTTTATGGGATCATGTTGTTTGACTCAATTCTCGGACCTTGAACCCGATCGACCAAGGACCCGAAAACATCTACAACCAAAAACAACACGAGGGGATTTTTAAAAGATAAAATAAAATAAAATAAGATAAATAAAGTAAAATAAAATAAGATAAATAAAGTAAAATAAAATGCTAAAACTAAATAAATAATAAAATTAAATGAAATAACATAAAATAAAGAAAACAAACTAGAAACTAAAAGAAAAAATAAATAAAAAGAGAGAAACTAGGAATTAATAAAACTAAGTTAATGTAAATTAAATTAAAAACTACAAAATACTCAAATAAAAATATAAAAGACGTGAATAAGCAAATAATAGAAATAAAGGATAAAATGAGCTTAATTATTGAAATATAAGCCGGAAAATGACTCAATAAACACCCAAGAAGTGACATAAAAGTCACATATCAAAGTCGTTCTTAAAAAAAAATAAAAAAAAAAGAGAGTATGATACAAAAAAATATATAAGGAATGATAAAACCGAGAAAATGATTAAATTATTTCTTGGATTTTACATTCGGAGGCCATCATTCTATTTAAACAAATAGTAATATACTATCCTTTAAAGATAAGCAATATGAGAACCATAATTTAAAAAAAAACGATATTGATCTCTATTGTAGTCTAAATGATTAAGAAATACGATAGTATATTTGATCATTTTATGGAGTATGTTCGGGTTGATTAATATTCCTAAAATTTGACAATTATTTACAATCCAACTTTCTAGACTTTCTCTTCTACCTTTTTCGAAAACAATTCATTTAAAGTAAAATCCTTAGATGAATACCTTGTGGAAGTCAACACAAATCATGACATTCCATTAATGATTGTTCGTGAATTTTTTGACATTCTTCATCAACAAACTTGTTTAAAGTGAATTCGTATTACAAGGATTAAAAATAAAAAAAATAAAACAATCATTTTGACTTTAGTTCTTTGTTTGAATGCTTGGCAGAAAAGGTTTAAGTGAACGCGCTCAATTTATCGTGATACACATTACTATATCATCTTCCACATTCGCATACTAGTCCAATCATGGGTGACAAAGCGGTATTGGAGAAACTTAGAAAGGACCTCCAAAACTAGAGGCCCTACGAGAAGAAGAAGCCCAAATGAAGGCTCATAAAAAGGCAGAAAAGGCTAAAATAAAAGTAGAAAAAGAAGACATTCTGCAAGAAAAAGCAAGAGCCGAAAGAATAAAGGCCTTGGAGAAACTTGTCCTTTAAGCTAACTCGGGGAATAAGTACTTCAATTATGAGTTTGCACCACAACCTAGTGACAAGACTCTCCCAGAAAAGTTCTTGACTACGGATATGCTAACCTTTAAGGTTAAAGACAATCCTAGACTCATTTACTGAGCTTTATTGGAATTATGGCATTGAAAGGGGTTGAGCCAAGCCTATATGCATGTACTTCCTCTTTCATTGGACACAACTGGCAGATCATGGTTTTATAAACTCGATGCAAAACAAACTTCCACTTGGAGTGACGTTGTAAAAGCGTTTTTAACCCAATATGAAGGTAACATCGAGCTCATAATTACCTTGCGCGATCTCAAATTGCTTAAGAAAGGGGAAGAAGAAGGCTTCATTGACTTCTTTTCTAGATGGAGATCAAAGGTTTCTCTTATTCCACAAAGACCTCCGGATCACAAACTTGTCCCAAAGTTCATAGACAATATGTCTCAACCATACAAGTGCCATTTACAATACCTTGGTTTAGACACATTTTAAAAAGTCTATATTGTGGGAATATTAATTGAAAGGGACTTGATAAATGAAACCATAAATTATATAGATGGAATTGATTTTTAGAGAGGATTTCACCTACGTCGAAAATGGACAAAGCTCGAAGACGCAATCTCAAGAAGTTGTCAACAATCTCGAAGACGCACCCTAGTTCTTGTTTTGTTTCTTTCCTTTGTTTTTTTATGATAGACTAAGAGATTCATGTTGTCGAATCTACTTATTTTGTACTCTCATTATGTAATGAATAAAAAATATATTTTCAAGTACGTCTATCTTGTTCTCTTTTCAATCTCTTTATTGTTATTAACTTGAATTAAATAAAACGGATACATACAAACAACCAATATCAAAAGGCATACATACTCAACACTTTAAGAATCTTGATGAGCTTTGGCTTACAAGATGTATTGAACGAAAAGAGGCCCATCTTTGGCCCACAAAGAAAGGATATGATGATTTCACCAACACATGAGGCAACTTGAAACTCCCACTACAAGAAAATAGAGTAAATTTTAACGCTTTTGCCTTGACACTTTTGTAATGGGTCATAATTTTCCTCCGTCCACTATTATGTAATTTATACATTTTGACTAATTTTAGAGCCAAAATATATTGTGTCCCTCAAAAGGGTCATAATATTGAATGCAATGAAACGTGTCACCCAACTATCAATTACACATTTACACAACTAACCCGCTGAAATTAAAATTTCACCAAAATTTTTAATCTAATATCCTGGGAAACTGTACCCCATGTTCGTCCTCACTGCACTATCAGCTCCCATAACGGTTTTGTTAAGCAGTTGCCAATAACACCTTATTCGCCGCTCAGATTTGTTGCCTAAAAACTTTGAATCTTCACAAAAAAATCCCTAATTTCTTGATTTCAGTTAGCATATAATCATCTCAGCCCACTTCTTACTTTAACTCTTCAATTTTTTTTTCAATATATTTGAAGCGTATAGTATGATGTGAATTGCAGATTGCTTTAATACTCTTCATAATTTGCCAAAAAAGTTCTCTTAATTTAGTTTTGCGGTTAATTTGTATTGTGAGTTTTGATTCATCGTTTCTATTGTTTGTTGGAGAAAATTTATCAAGATTCAGCTCAAAGATCTCGTAAGTTTTTTTTTTCCCAATTTTTTTCTTTAATTATTATGTATGTTGATAGCTGCATGCATGATTATTAATATAATCTCCGATTATAGTTGAAGAATGGGTTGAATTAACGAATTAATTAAGTTATTGAATTGGTTAATTATATTGTAACTTTTTTATTGGTAAAGAATTGGATACCCATTTGCAATTGTTACTCGAAGTCTCGAATTATGCATATTTTTATTAAAAATTGTAACTTTTTGATAATTTTCAGATGTATACATATTCAATCAGTTGTTTAATTAAATGTTTACATATACATTGCTTTCAAACTTTAGATTCTTTTTTAAATTGAAACAAAATGCACAACTACAATTAACCAGCAGATTTTTGACCATAATTATGCACAGGTCATCTGAGGAGAAGCTGTGGTATTTGAAGTGCAAAGAAGTGGAAAATCAGAAGCTAAAAGGCGGAGAAACGGCTTCAAGAATTGGAGGTAATGTACATAAGCACTGCCTAAATATAATATTGTTCTGGATGAAAATTTCGGTTGTGTAAATTCAAGATTAAGTTTCTAGATTTCTTTCAATCACACATATGTCTTTACTGTTTAGCACATCTTTCATGTCAATTGAGATTAGGTTGAGGTATTTTCTCTATATCATACATGTGTGCAGTATAGGATTAGAAAGATATGTAATTGTGAAGTCTGATGTCGGCTAGAGTTATGATGAAAACGAGCCATGTCTCAATTGACATGAAACCTGGCTCAATATATACTCTCCTGACTGAATCTAGGTTCATATATCCTCTCCTCATGGTCTCTATTAAAGAGGTATGGCTGCTAGATTTGGTATTTAAAGTTGATGATATGGAACACATGTTGCTAATATATGTATCAATATATGTATGTTTGTTTTTGTTCGCAAATGTATGCAATTGAGAGGCTTAACAATCTGAGAGGGAGATGCATGGCTTCAATGGATTCTTGGTCTTAAGGTAGTATTACATTATCACTTTTGTATATGTTGACTATCTGGAAACCTTACATTCTTGATGTTGCTTGTAACTTTCTCTCTTGTATTCGCTCTTTCTTTTATAGATTTTGCCTTAGCTTTAAATTTGCAATGTTTTTCTCCCTTTTATAATATATGATGTCTTTTGGCTTCAAATGTGGATAGAAGTGATTTTATATTCTTGTGGAGGGTTGTTTACTTAGAAAATAAATGTTGGTCATATAGTTATGCTAGTAAATGGGAGAATTATGCTTATCAAGTTACCTATAAGGTAATCGTTCTTAAAAAAAAAAAGGTAATTGTGTGTCCTCATAATTTGTTTAGTTATTTGGTCAGTTTTGGGTGAGTTGCCTCTACACGTACTATTGTTTTACTTGATTTGTCATGAGCATTTCATTGTATTCATAGTGTATCATGTTATCTCTATGTGAGTTTCTGAGCAATAACGGTAAAGGTATTCTTATTGTAAGCTAAAAGGTAATTGTGCTTAAACGAAATGGGTAATTGTGTTTCTCAAGATTATATTTGTTATTTGGTCGATTTAGGATAGTGGTATAGGTGAATTGACCCTTGTTCTATAGAACCTTAGCTTGATGGGTAAAGGCAATTAGGCAAGTGTTTACTTGCTTGATTTGCAGTCTATATTGTACAATGATTACATCACCTTTACTTAGGTTTTGAGCAGCATCTATTTTGAAAATTGTTCTGTTCCTTTATTATGTGGCATATGATATTTTCCAAATTTATCAATCTGCCTCTATATGTTTTTGTATGCTTATTTTAGGGGTTGCCATGCATCAATGGTTACTAAAGAAGAGGAAGATGAGGAGTGTTTAAAGGAGGAAGAAACTAGGCCTTCCAACACTAGGCTGGTCACTCAACCTTCTTATGTGTTCTGCTATGCATTTTAATTGTTTTGTGACAACTGAGAAGCTAGGTTCATGTTATAAACCTTTAAAGTTGGTTTTATATAGTGAATGCCCATTCAATTTTCTCTTGGAGCATCTGATGATTTATTTTTTTCCATTAGAGCATGTTTTGGTTAGCAAACTATTGATTGTGTCTACCCTATACTTGTCCTTTGCATTTCTCAAGATTGAATTTTCTACATGAAATACTTTGAAACATATGAATTATCATATCATTGAAACTTTGGAGCAGCATCTCATAGTAGATATGCTTGAATTTGCAATGGATATCTCCAATTCCATCTTATTTAGCTCTTTCTTGTACTGCTTTATTGTCATTGTATATTAGATATGAAGTTGGAAAAAATTTCTGATAGCACACATTACCTAAGCTGGGATTTGAATGAATTTTAGTACATGAGGTTAAGTTGGTCTTTTGATGGCCAATATAGTGTATTTGGACAAATGGACAAAGTTATACATATGGGGCCATGGGGGAGAGGGAGGGAAAGAGGAAGAGATATCATGATATCCCCTTAAAGAGTAGCATTTTAAAAAAATAAAATAAAATATGTCTTATTGTGAATAGTTTAAAAACAAGCTAATATAACTTTCTCTAAGGGCTAGCCATTCCGCGCGCATCGCGGGCGTTGGCTCCCCTAGTTTTTATTAAAAATTGTAACTTTTTGATGATTTTCAGATGTATACATATTCAATCAGTTATTTAATTAAATGTTTACATATATATTGCTTTCAAACTTTAGATTCCTTTTTAAATTGAAACAAAATGCACAGTTACAATTAACCAGCAGATTTTTGACCATATTAACGCACAGGTCATCTAAGAGAAGCTGTGGTATTTGAAGTGCAAAGAAGTGGAAAATCAGAAGCTAAAAAGGCAGAGAAACGGCTTCAAGAATTGGAGGTAATGTACATAAGCCACTGCCTAAATATAATATTGTTCTGGATGAAAATTTCGGTTGTGTATCTTTGAATGTCTATAGTTGGCTGTGAGTTTTGAGCTTAAGCTTTTACTAAATCCATAGTTAATGAATAATTATTTGATTATTCATAATAGGTGATGGTCTATTACCTTCTTCGGCTAAATGGGATAACTATAAAAATAGAGATGTATGCTGACTTTGGTGACATTGATTGAAAAATATATCTCATATTCTTTTCTGGTGTAATTAGATATATTTAATAGTTTTCTTAAAGGTGATCAATTTCTGAGAACAGAGATGTATGTGGCAGTTAGTTTAGCAGACTGCTTGAATTCAGAGCTTTGAGCATGCTGTTATTATGTCTTATAAATTATGCCATCAATTTCGGCTTTTTTTTTAAATCATGGAATGCTTGATTACCATATCTGTGATTATTTCTTTGAGTATAAAAGTCATTACGCGAAACAATATTTGAGAAAAGATTCAATTAACTATTAAGAATTGAATCATGTTGTTCGTATAGTTGATCTGAAGGAGTTAAGATATGGACCCTTTGAAGGAGTAAGTCTATCATAAGTGTGATGCTGTATTACCCTTCCTTTTCACATGATAGCAAGAAAAACTATCAAGATTGTCCCCCCAAGCTACATATATCTTCCACCAGTAGATCAAAAACAGACCTCCCAAAGTACTTCAAATTAATTGCACCTCATAAATTAGCAGCATCACATTCTAGTTCCACCTTTTGATAACCAAGACTCAAGGGAACCTGTAACCCCAATCTAGCAGCGAGAACTTCAGCCACCTCAACTGAACTTCTACAGACTTCCCTACGCACCACCACTGTATGAACACAACCTGCAGCATCCCTAAAAACTGCCCCTAACCCCATGCCATTCTCCTCCAACATTACAGCGTCAGTTTTGATTTTTATTATACCAGGAGCATGAGGAAGCTAATAACTTCTATAAATCACAGCTCTGGTAGCAGGAAGCCAGGAACATAGCAAACTCTCGAATTATATTTTTTAAAATCGAGAACAAGTTTCACAAAACCCATAACTCCTACTATAATTCACTGCTCCAAGTCTTACCAAACACCACTGAATTATGAAAAGCCCACGTATCCCAAACAAAAGCCACCAGAACCAGCATCTCATGTTTACCATATTTATCAAATGCCCAGTGAATTCGTTCAATGAGTATTTTTCTAACAACTTCAAACTCTCCCAATTTGATTCCACTACTGATGTGTATTTTTCTATGTTATCTCCCATGTCAACTTTGCATTTGAGTATTGAATTACCGTATTTGCTTTTGTTATCACTGTTTTCAATTGAAGTGTCTTTTGAGTTTTCTCCCCCCCTATAATTTTTTTTTTGGTCACTCGAACATAATTCTTTATATTATATAATATCATCTAATGTGTGGATATTGCTTGTATTTTTTTTTTCAGCATTCATCCTTTTGGATTCTTTTGGTCACTGCATGCTTAGTTTAGAAGACTCTTGAAGACATCTATACCAAGGTATTACTCACATCTTATATGCTACTATTTCAAGTTATGACAGTTTAGTTTTGAGATAAGCTTTAAGATTGTTGTATGCTATACCAAGTAAGCATGTAATTTTGTTTGTATGTCTAGTAATGACTTTGAAAAAGCAACTTAGTGACATATAACTATTTGGTATCTCCAATAGTTCATCATCTTTGATTACATTGGTTTAATTATATAATTGTAGGTGATTTTTCTTAATTTTTTTTTTATTATTATATAGTGAGGTTTAAATAGTATGCAATGAAAATTGCATCAATAGGTTAGATTTCATATAGTAAATCCTATACCTATATCTTTTATTTCTGTTGCATGGCTATAATGATTGACCTTTCCTTAGTTTTATGATCAGAATATATGAAATAAAAACATGCTACCCCAATCTGCTTTGTTGTGTATTTTAGTTTGTGAAGAATTTGATATTTGTTCTGATAAGTAAGCTTTAAAATTTTCTATTTATTTGGTCAAAATTATAGTTCCCTTATTAAAGTATTAATTATGTATAGATATGGAAACAAGTTGGATAGAACTTCCACGATGCCACACTCAATATGTCTAAGGTTGTATGCAATTCATTAACTTTGCTAAGGTAGCTCAGGTAGAAGGAAAGATTCGGTGTCCATGTACGACATGTAAAGTGGATAAATGGCTTTGTGTAAATGATGTAGAAAGACATATCTTGTTTAACGGGTTTTATAAATCATACAAGAAATGGATTTTTCATGGTCAAGGGGATTTGCTTCAGCATATGATTGGGTGTGATGGAGGTAGTACTAGCCAAGGATCCCCACTAGATCAAACAAGGTTTGAAGGTCGAGATGATATGGGAGGCCTATTGAGATCTGCTTTTAGTTTTGAAAAACCCTCAAATGACCTAACCTTTGAACCACATGAAAATAATGAAAATGACGAGTATCTTGAAGACCCTGTCTTTTATGAAGAGGAGATTGATTTAGAATTTTCAACAACGCAAGATGAAGCTAAGTATAAGAAATTACTTGATGTTTCCGATGAGAAATTGTATGACGGGTGTACTAAATTTTCCAAACTGTCTTTTCTTTTACACCTTTTTCACATAAAATGTATGAGCCATTGGTGTGCTGAATCCTTTAATATGCTACTCGAGCTTCTCATAGACGCATTTCCCCAAATACTTGAGTTTCCCTCATCTTATTATCAAAGTAAGAGAATAATAAAAGACCTTGGCATTGGGTATGAGAAGATTGATGCTTGTCCAAATAACTGTATGTTGTATTGGGGTGATTATTCAAAGAAAGACAAGTGTCATGTTTGTGGTACATCAAGATGGAAGAAAAATAAGGGTAGAAATGATAATGTCAGAGATCAAAATAAGACTGTTTCTACGAGTGGTGAGCCAGCTAAGGTAATGCGTTACTTTCCTCTTATCCCTAGACTGAAGAGAATTTACATGTCCTCAAAAACAGCAGAAGATATGAGATGGCATTATACTCATAATGATAAATTGAATGATAATGATAAGAAGATGTTAAGGCACCCTTCAGATGCATTAGATTGGAAATCATTTGATCAACGTTATGAGGATTTTGCCTCGGATCCTCGTAGTGTTCGATTAGGACTTGCAAGTGATGGGTTTAATCCATATCGTTTGATGAACACGACTTATAGTACATGGCCTTTGGTGTTGATTCCCTATAATCTTCCACCGTGGTTATGTATGAAACCATCTTCATTCATGTTGTCTATTATCATTCCCGGTAAAACAAGTCCCGGAATTGACATCGATGTGTATTTGCAGCCACTAGTTCATGAATTGAAATTGTTATGGAGTGGGGTTGATGCTTTTGATGCTTATGATGGAGAGAAATTTAAATTGCGAGCCGCTTTGCTTTGGACTATTAATGACTTTCCTGGTTATGCAATGCTCTTCGGTCTGAGCACCAAAGGCTATATGGCATGCCCTATATGCATTGATTCAACTCCTTCTGAAAAATTTGGGAGTAAGACTTGTTATTGTGGGTATCGAAAATGGCTTCCATCATGTCATCCATATCGATTTGATTGTGACAGTTTTAACGGAAGAGAAGAGCATGGTGAAGCTCCACCTCGGCCTAGTGGGACTGACATATTGGGGCTACAAGAAAAGGTTGGGTATGTTTATGGGAAGGCATCAAAAAGAAAGAGAGGTAACGAGGGTAACAATGAAAAAGATGTTGTCATTGGTAACAAGAGAAGCATATTTTATAATTTAGAATTGGGAGCATAATTTGTTGAGGCATAATCTAGATGTAATGCACATAGAAAAAAATGTGTGTGACAATATTTTAAATACTCTCTTAAATACCGATAAAAGCAGAGATAAGAAGGATGATCGAGATGCCCTTCAAGGATGGGGCATAAAGCCACATCTTTGGGTTCAAGATAATCATATGCCTTGAACTTCTTATTCTATGTCTGTAGAGGAGAAAAGAGGTTCTTAAAAGTTTTACAAAATCTCAGAGTCCCTGATGGCTATGGATCTAACCTTTCTAGATGCGTGAACATGAAGCAAAGAAGGTTGATTAACCTTAAGAGCCATGACAACCATGTTTTGATGCAAGATATCCTTCCCGTCGCATTAAGAGCTTCTAATGCAACAAAAGTAATTGATTTGCTTGCAAAATTGTCTTACTTTTTCAAGCAATTATGCTCCACTGCTATTGATCCTGATGATCCAGATGCTCTTTAAGAAGGAATTGTATTAACCCTTTGTGAGTTGGAAATGGAGTTTTTGCCTTCGTTTTTCACAATCATGGTTCATTTGCTAATTCACTTAGTGGAGGAGGTTAAACTCGGTGGGCCAGTACAGTACATATGGATGTATCCCATTGAGAGGTTAGATTTATTTACATATATGTCTAATCTAAATTCATCTAGAAAATCTATAAACTTATTGTATTTTAATTATAATTTGACTTTTTGAAAAGGTACTTGGCCCATCTAAAAACACATGTAGCTAATAAAGCCCAACATGAAGGGTCAATTGCAGAAGGCTACCTTTTAGAGGAGACCATTAGGTTTTGTTCAAGATATCTTGAAGGTGTTAAGACCGTCTTTAACAAACCTAAACGAATTGATGATGATAGTCCCAATTCTGGAAAATACTTGTGTAATTCTGGCGGTCGAGTAATTGGGAAAGAAGTCAATTTCCGTCTAGATGACAAAAGCTTAAAACAAGCTCATCGCTATGTTTTACTGCATCATTCTGATGAAATTCAAGATCTTCTCGAGTAAGTAGCAGGTTTTATTCTATTTTATGAATAACCAATTATTATAATATATCATTATAAATTATAATTTATTTTCCTTTCTTTGAAGAGAATTTTTAAATCTAAAGCGACAAATGAATACACATAACCCAATCTCTGAAAGTGATGAAAGTGATTGGATCATCAACGAGTTTGGAGAGTGGTTGCGAAGTCAGGTGATATATATGTATCCTAATGTGTTCAATTTTCTTACAAAAATAGCAGACTATTTTTGACTTTATATTCTACCATGATAGGTACACTCAATAGATGAATCCACCGGAGATGGGAAACTTTGAAAAATTCTGGCAGGGGGATTGAATTGTTATGGTAAAAAAATGAAGGGCTTTATGATCAATGGGTATAAATTTCAGATCATGGACCGTGATAGCCGTTTGACTACCCAAAATTCTGGAATCATGGTTGAAGCAGATGGAGAAGCATACTATGGGAAACTGAAGGATATATATGAATTGGACTATTATGGGACTTACAAAGCTATATTGTTTCATTGTGTTTGGGTAGACATACATAGGGGTGTTAAATCAGATTAAAATGGCTCTATATGTGTTAATTTCTCTAAGTTGATGCATTCAGGAAGAAATTTGCAAGATGATCCTTTTATTTTCTCATCTCAAGCAAAACAGGTTTTCTACATTGAAGATGAGATACGAAACGGATGGTTTCATGTTGTAAAGACTAAGCCTAGACACTTGTTTGATTTAGGGGATGAGTTACCCGAAGTAGATAACGACAATGAATGATTAGTTTCCTATTTATTATTTAATTTGGATTTGTAATTGCTGAACTTAATTATGAGTTGATATTTGTCATTAATTAATATTTCCTTTTGCTGAATTTATCCCTTTACTTTTTGTTAATTCTATTTGTAAATTACAATCTATTTTCTCATACCATCTAACAGTTATAGCGGTTTTTCTTATGATTTTGATTTCCTCTTAATTAACACACTATTTTTTTTCTTTCTCGTCAATATCATATATAATTAGAGCTATATTCTCATTGTTCAGGTGTAGAACTTCCTGTCAAAAAGAGAGAGAACGAAGAGGTTTAATTAGGTAAATACTTTCCCCTATTCAATATTGCAATTGTAAGAAATTCCTGATTCTATTGCATATGTAATCACATGAAAGTATGAAACCATTGTTCAATTATGACTCAGATAACTTACTAAGCAATGGAATTTGTATAACTAGCCTGATTTTTATAACTAGCCTGATTTCGTAAATGCATCTTTTCATTTATTTTTAAAATTAATCTTTCGTTTGAATGAAGGATAATAGTTACCTTATTGGAGTACTATCAAATTGCTTTCAGCCATTCTATTTCTCTGTCTCCTGAATTTTGTGATGAAATCACATATTTACTCTAAACTAAACCCTTGGTTTGCATTTAGGCTTTGCATTTGGGTCGCATTCAGTAGAGAAGGGGTAATCTACTTATGTATAAAGCTGGAATTCTTTGCATGAATGTTTGTTAATGGACAAAAGCCTTAATTGCTAATTTACTACAACTTGTCAACAAGCTAAAGTTACCACAGTAAAAGAGCTAATATAACAAAACATGCTCCCTGCCCATATTAGTAAACCGTTGCTCAAGTGAGAGGTGGAGAAGGCCTCTGCTTCTGCTGCTGATCCTATTCCCCCCTTGATCTCCTGCTATACACCAAAATGGGCGGAGCTTGTGGGTGCATTGCAGTACCCTTTTGTATTCGATCCATTTCTGCAAACAAATTGAGGAACACAAAGAAATCAGAAAGTTGTATGTGGATTTCGACAGACTGATGCATTGATCGATATTATTAAAAACCAACTCAACAATTTAAGCTAAGAATTTTAAATGGCATACTCAGGTATACGTAGTAAATCAGTAATCTGAGTTGATTTACTTGATAATGCTCATTGATTACTGAGGTTTAGCAGAACTGTCACCTGTATGCATACTCTACTTCCTTCGACTTCATTTTCACATTTCGATTCAGAAAATTGAAACCTGTCTGATATCCTATGTTGCACACATAATTTCTGACTAGTTGTATTTGTTTCTGTTAATAGGTGCCTCATAATGAGTTACAGAAGTAAAAGAACTGCTTTACCCCCTGGCGAGGCTCAATTTTCTTCAAATAAGCAACCCACTTCGACTTCCTTACAGTCTAAGTCCAGCCATATTGCAGTGTCACAATCCAACTTTTCAGAGTCTTCTAAGCAATCCACCCAATGGGGACCATTTAGCCCTCCAACACTTGGAAGATCACAAACGTTTGGACACATATCGCAACCAAACAAATCTTCTATTAATGCATCAAAACCCACATCTACATCATCTTCATCTCTAGCTGCTGCATCAAAAGCAGGTATGCCAACTATAATGCCATAAAACTCCCAACAAAAGATGTCATAAAAACCTCCTTTAACCCCATCACAACCTAGATCGTATCCTATGTTACAATCTCTAACACCACAAACATCACAACTCCCTCATAAAGAAACACTACAGCCTCACAAAGGAACAATTCAACCTACTAAACCATCAAAGCAGCATAAGGCTACAGAGCATCCGACTATTCCACCTTTTACTAAAGCTAAAACTGGTGCACTTCCGTCACAAGAAACAACACAAGTCCCTCATAAAGAAACAACTCCGCCGACTAAAGCATCAAAGCAACCTCAAAAAGCTACCGAACATCCGAGTAAACAACCTTTTCCTGGAGCTAAAACAGGTGCACTGTCGGTGGGAGCTTCACAACAACCTATTGTCTCTTCTTTGACTGGAGCTAAATCCCAATTAGAAAGAAGAGTTGTTTTACCCCTGGAAGCTATGCAACAAACTCAAAAGATGCATCCTATGACGTCTTCTAATTTTTGAGGTGAACCCTTGAAACAACCTCAAATGAATACAACTTGTACACCGGGACTCCAAAAGGAGAATTCTCCTGCATATATTCATGCTGAAAGCAACAAGAGGTTAAATTTTGACTCTGACGAACCTGAATCACAGTCAGAGAGTGAAGAAGAGTTGCATGATTCAGGTGGAGTGGACAGTGGTGTGAAAAGAACAAAATTTAGACGTCGAAGTATTGTGAAAAATTGGCCAGAGCATGTCAAGTTTGATGAGGAAGAAGAGGTTGTGGCATTTGGTAAGTGTAAATGCATATTTAATATTATGTGCTTTGTTTTTTTCCTTTTCGAATGTTTTTTTCTTATTGTTTAACACTTACCTAATTTCATTGTTTTCAAAGATGTCGATGGAACACGACACCTTGTGAAGGGTTCTGTTCAGCCTCGAGATGTGTGGAATGATGCACCAGGATTTAGGTACTTCATCCAATTTAATGAATTTAACCAACCTCTTCACAAAGGTGGCTCCATCCTTGTGAGTTTCTTAGGAGACATTGCTAAACGAGAAGAATTTTGTCCCGTGGGAATTTTAAATTGGGATAAGTTGAGCTCGAATATGAGAGGCAATATTGTTAACCTTGTTCGGGTACACCTTTTAATCGTTCACCATGAATATATAATCTTACTTTCATTACTACACTTATAATCTATTGCATGCCTGACATATGCTATGGTTCTCTGATATATGATATAATTATGAATGCCTCAATAATAACTCACATGTAGTACGATACGCTATAAGTTATATAAGCTACATAGATTAATCTTAATGTAACTTTATTTGTACATTTACTTTAAGGCACATTTTTTGTTACCCGAAGGAAAGGAAATGAGGAATGCTATTTTGAAGCGTATTGGCAAAGCATGGAAAAATCATAGATATGCATTAAAGAAGGATTATTTTGATCCCGCGGAAAAAACGCGTGAGCAAAATTATGCTAGTATACCTGATGGAATCACAACTCAAAATTGGAGTTTTCTGGTTGATTATTGGCTTTCATCGGACGCCAAGGTTTGCATTTTGATTTTTACGGGAATTTTTTGTTTATAGATTAGCTCTGTATAACCGTTTCGTATGTTGTCAAGTTGTTAGTAACATTTTAGTAGGATATAATAAATGAACAATCCTAGATGTGTGATAAACATTTTGGTGGTTATGTTGTTTATGCTGATCAACTCCTCCCACAATGTCCTCTAATTCTTCATAAGCGATAACCTATGACTAGCAAATCTATAAACTTACAGTCTTATAGCTTTATAAGGAACAAATCAGAGAGAGAAAACAGTAAAGTATACACAATGAAACAACAGTAATGGACCTCCTGTATTCGTCGTTGATGCTACAACCCTTTTCCTCTGTTGTCTCTCTAATAAGCTACATATTCTCTCCTTCCCTATTACCTTGCTGTTGCCAATAGTCGTTTGCTTGTGTCATCATTGCATCCCATCAGATATAGTTAGTCACACGATAAGGTTTAGAGATCTCAAATCCATTATATTTACACAGTACACGTGTTAGTGAGAACAGAGGCTAGCTTCCATCAGACCAACTCACTACCTAATGACACAAGCAAATCTGTTATATTCTGATTATAGTGGTTTTAGTGTGATGTAACTTTATTTCTATCTCATGCTAACCATGATTTTAAATAAACAGAAAATGTCTGAACTTGGAAAAGCTGCTCGTGCGTCGCAAGTTCTCGTGCGCAAGAGTAGTGCTTAAAACTTTGCAAATCGCAGAGCTATTCTGGTATAATTATCCTTCATTTTATTTAGTCCTAAAATCTGCATTTAGTGTTTCTTTTTCCCTGTTTGACTATCTTACAAGATTTGGAAGAAAATGTAACATCGTCAATTTAAAAGAATTAAAATAGCAGAAGTTAAATGTCTGATATTTGTGTGTTTCTCACATTGCAGAAAAAACAAAAAGGAGATTTCAGTGAATTGGAGTTTTTTAAAAGTGTTTACAGCGAAGGAGATGGAAGCTTCAAAGAGGGCACAACATCTCGTCAGTTTGTGGTATATATACCAATGAAAATTAGTTTAACCACTAATTTATTAGCTCTTTGCCAAGTCTTATAGTTTTCTTATCATGTAACAGGAGGATGCAATCAAGAAGGTGCAAGAAAGCCTTGATAACTCCTCTTCTTCCATTCCCAAGGTTGATATTGAAAATGAAGTTTTCAATCAACTTATGTATCAAGGCGAGATCCCTAAGCGTCCTCTAAATTATGGCTTTGGTGTGAAGCAAAGCGACATCTTTGGAGTGGAAGGACATTTAAGGAAAGAAGGGTCTTACTATGTCAACAATAGTGATATGGAAGTGGAGAAGTTGAAGGTTGCACTGTTAGATATGAAAAAGCAAAATGAGGATCTTGCTGAACAAAATCAAATATTGAACACAAAATTTGAT